GACGCAACACCGGAAGAAAAGCACAAGGAGTTCCTCTCCAAACTCGTGACGCGGTTGTTGTATGCTTGCAACTACCAAAGGTCAGAGTTGGAGAGACAGCACCGGCACCTGACGCAACAGCATCAGGAATTGGCGACGCTCCGCCGCACAGTGCAGAGCCACGAGGATGCAACTCGGGCACTCAATGCCCGATTGTTGGACCTGGAACAGGCAGTACCAGGACCAGCTGCTGGAGCTTCCAGCAGTGCACCCTCAAGCCGCCAACTGGAGGACCGCGTTGACCACGTAGTGGGAATGCTCGGCGACATCAGCACCTTCGCTGCGTCGACCACCACCATCAGCAGTCAGCTGCATACATTGAAGACCGAGGTCCAGAAGCTGCAGTCGACGAACGCGGACGACAATGTACAAGATGCCAACTTTCAACCTGGAGAGGTTCGACGACTACACGCAGTAGGATCCCGTCCTCTGGTGGGAAGCATTCRCAACGCAACTCAGGATTCTGCCAGTAGCCAAGCATGCGTACATCGGCGCCCTGTTCCTGAACTCAAAGGGCGGATGCCAGACCTGGTTGAGCCACCTGGCAACCTCCCACGGCGTCGACGTACTAGACTTGAAGGACGTAATCAGATGGGAGGAACTAACACGGCTGTGGAAGAAGCGGTTCATCGTCGCCGACACGCCGACACTCGCCATCAACCGTTTGTTCACCATGTCACAGGGCAACACAACAATACGGGACTGGCTCACGGAGTGGCAGAAGATTGCGGCTGTGCCCAATCTGAACCTACCATTCGAGCATCTACGCCGTGAGTTCTCCAACAGGTCCTGTGCGGCATTGAGCCAGACTCTTGGTGATCGCGAGCAGTACTCAACCTTCGCGGAGATCATTGACAAAGCGAGGGAGATCATGAAGACCAACAGGTTAGCTGCACACGAGAAATCAACATGGCAGCCGACCTATGTGGAGAAGGCACGAACTGGTCCGCGACAACAGCACTTCGCTGCAGTCCAGCAGGACAATGGAGATAACCCAGCAGCCACTCCAGCATCAAGTGACGGAGATCAGGTGGCTGCTGTCCAGCCGCGAAGCAACAACAGTCCCGCAACAATGGGAAGGTGAAATCTGCATCGCAGGCCGGAAATGGACAGCCAGTACAAGTTCCATGGGTCAAGTTCGGCTTGACTGAGGCGGAGTACAAAGTCCGCGGCCGCTACGGCAACTGCTATTGGTGCAACAACACCAAGCACAAGACCTCCCTGTGCCAAGATCAGGGCAAGGAGGATGTGCGACCCCGCCTCAGCTCGGGAAACTGAGCTCCGCGGAAGGTGAGGCGACTCCACCTTCGACTCCGCCAGATTCGGCCGCCTTGCTAGCGGCCTCCTGCACATCTGGGGAGGATGCGAATATCGCAAGTTCTCGGTATACTTACGAGGATTATGCTGTCCACTTGGTTCCACCGCTGGACCAACCGCTCCACGTGCAACAGTCCACCGCATGCACGGTTTCATCACCA